TCGGCTTCAGCAAGGCTTTCGTTACTGTCCCCCACAACATCCTCGTACGTGAACTCAAGAAATGTGGGATAGATGATTGGACTGTGAGGTGGATTGTGAACTGGCTCAGCAACAGAGTTCAGAGGATTGTGGTCAGTGGCACAGCGTCAAGTTGGAGGCCTGTGGCCAGGGGTGCTACCCAGGGATCAGTACTGGGTCCAGTCATGAATGACCTGGATGAAGGGATAGAGCGCCCCCTCAGTAAGTTCACTGATGATACGAAAATGGGAGGAGTGGCTGACACACAGAAAGGCTGTGCTGCCATCCAACGAGATCTGGACAGGCTGGAGAACTGGGCAAAGGGGAACTTTGTGAAGTTCAATAAGGACAAATGTAGAGTCCTGCATCTGGGGAGGAAGAACACCAGGCACCAGTACAGATTAGAGTAAAAGCAGCCCCATGGAGACAGACCTTGGAGTTCTAGTGGACAGTAAGTTGTCCATGGGACAGTAGTGTGCTCTTGTGGCCAAGAGGGCCAATGGGATCCTGGGGTGCATTAAGAAAAGTGTGTCCAGCAGGGCTAGGGAGATTCTCCTCCCCCTCTACTCTGCCCTGGTGAGACCATACCTGGAATACTGTGTCCAATTTTGGGCTCCCCAATTCAAGAGAGACAGGGACCTACTGGAGAGAGTCCAACAGAGAGCTACGAGGGTGATTAAGGGACTTGAACATCTCTCCTCTGAAGAAAGACTGAGAGAACTGGGGCTGTTTAGCTTTGAAAGGAGATGGCTGAGAGGGGATCTTATTAACATATATAAATATCTGAAGGGTGGGTGTCAAGATGAACAGGACAGTCTCTTTTCAGTGGTGCCCAGCAACAGGACAAGAAATAATGGGTTTAAGTTAGAACATAGGAAGTTCCACCTCAACATGAGGAGAAACTTCTTTACTGTGAGGGTGACAGAGCACTGGCACAGGCTGCCCAGAGAGGTTGTGGAGTCTCCTTCTCTGGAGACTTTCAAAACCCACCTGGACACATGCCTGTGTGGCTGCCCTACGGGATCCTGCTCTGGCAGGGGCGTTGGACTAGATCATCTTTCAAGGTCCCTTCCAACTCCTAACAGTCTATGATTCTATGATTCTATGATCTTTCTCTTTTTCCAACATAAACTTACTTTTGATGTATTTAAACCTGATGTATATGCCAGGCCTGAACTGGCTCTGCTGCTGCTGCTGCTGTTTCTACGGTGGCTCTGGGTATGTGGGTATCATGGAGCATGCAGGAGCTGGAAAGCTGACATCCACCAACCTGTCCATAAGAAGAAAAGGGAGGGTTCTATCCTGCAAGTTCTTGCTGCAGAGATAATTTCATGGGAGAATTCAGCCCTTGGTTGTCTTAAAGCCTGTCTTGCCCTGACAGCAATATCAGAGCCTACTGGGTGTAGAAGGCTGTGGGTGTAAGTGGTGTGGGAATTTCCCCTGCACACCTCAGTGTCTTGTGCTTATCATGCAGCCTTCAAGCTGTAGCTGGTGATCTGTGTCCTGTGTCTTGAAACAGTTCTGCTGGTGATGTTAATCATAGCCATTAGTCACTCAGAGTGGAGATGATTTAAAGGAAACTGACAACTTTAAGTATTACTCTTAATGTCTAAAAATATTAAATTGGTGATTGTTACAAGTAATGCCTAAGATGATGATAACTTAAAGAGTTTCAGGGTTTGGTTGCACTGTATCCTTGATGGGACTTAGCGTATAATCTCTTTCCTTTAAATATGGTTTTGCCTGAGGTTCATGTGCATCGTTCATGCACCAGTGGCAGAAGGAATTAAATAGCAGAAAATGTGATTCTAAAACCACGAATATATTTAGAGGGGCATACACAGAGTACCTGAAACTATTTTAAAACACATTGTTCGCAGTTAACCAATGTTCAAGTTTCACAATAATGTCGCTTTTAAATAATTTGGTTCTCTAGATCTTTCTGGACTGCTATGTGAAATGTGTCCTACAAAACTGCCCCAGCTCTGCATTCTTTCTTGTATTACTCCTTTGCATTCAACAACATCCTGTCTTCTGTACATACTTAATTCCATGAATAACTGTAAAGAAACCCAGCACCCTGATAATCTGAAGACTAGAGCCTGAGCACCGCTATTTTAAGTATTTCCCTTATACGAATCTCTGGTAACAGAGTGAAATGGAAAATGAGAGCAACAGCTGACCTCATCACAGAGGAATAAAAAAAGGAGTCTGGTAGGAGTCCATGCAGGTGTAGATGGACAGTCATCTGAGACAGCTCTTGTGATTTAAGCTGTTACCTTTCCCTAACTGTTAGTCATCACTCTTCAGGTAGGGACTAGTGCCCCAGAATTTAAGCAATGGCAGATTATGGAAGTATTCCTGTCCCAGTGAAGATTGTGACATTAACTCTTTTAGTTCTGCACTCGTGCAAATGTAAAAGCACTCACATAATCTCTTAACACAACTCTCTTATGAGAATAATGATTAACAGCTAGTTGTGGTGACATCAAAAATTGCTGGATTGGCTATCTGTGCCTTAAGGCTCTTGTGATCTATAGTACTTGTGTGGCAGTAACCACTGAATAATTCCTTTTTGCATGCAACAATCTACTTTGGAGCCTTACAGAAAATACTATAGCACAGTATCAAAAATTCAAAAGCTAAATTACAGGAGTAATTTGCAAACAGTGTTTGTATCCTCAGGATAAAATTTGTTTGTTTGTTTCTCAGTTTAGTACTGTTAGGACTCAGGGGGTCTGAGATTTGTAAAGCCAGGACAAGTTTATCAATCATGTTCTCTCTATGTATAGTTTCAATAACTACTCTCTTTTCACAACTCGTCGTCAGTTTGAATTTTATTCTTGGACCTAGTAAGATGGTTACTTTTGGTCTGTTGTGTTCCAACCTAAAATCTGAAAATTAAGCAACTTTGTGAAACATGTCACTCTTTATATTGTATGTTTAAATATCATCAGTTCTTTGTGATCAGTGGGCTGTTTTGGAGAGTACTACTACTTTAAATCATTGTTGGTTACTGAGGAAGAACAACATTCTGTTAAATAAAATATGACCAAATGAAAATTAAAATTCATATATATTTTTGTGTTTGTATATGGGTTTGTCTGGCTTGCTTGTGCTAATGGAGGACATATTTTGATTGGACTGTAATTGAATTTTGTTGAGGTTTTGAAAGAAAAATGAGAAATAACTGAAAGGTACATCAGCATGTAAGTTTTTTTACTGGTAACACTGAATGTCTCTTTACACCCATCAATAAGTTTTGGAGAGCTAACATATTCCACGTTTACAATACTGTTGTGAGCTGTCACTTCTTGGAAGACTGGGGGTCGTGAATGTCCTCCCAGATGAAGATCATGCAGAGATGCAGCACAAGAAAAGCTCATTTTTCCCTCAGAGATATTTCCTACTTTCCTGCCTCTTCTGTACTGTGTTCGCTAGCATCATTTCATGTTCATTGACTTTTCTTTTGATGCCACATCAGGGAGAAGTGATATTAGCTCCTCAGAGAGATGTCCTTTTCTTCAGGGAAATGTTGCTGTTCTTGGGAGAGAGTAACCAGGGTAGGACAGAACAGGCTGTGATACACTGAAGTGGTATCTGCAGAATGACCATATTTTATTCTAGATTTTATTCTTCCAGGGAGAGAAAGATGCAGTAAATTGTAGTCGTGTGTTTAGGTGCTTCTCCAATGTCCTTTCTGCAGTATTTTTTTCTCTAAGCACAAGGACAGTTATTCACATTTTCCATATCTTTGGTTTAAAGAGATTAAAAATACCCCAACAGACTGCAGTGCTTTCTGTTTCACACATAATCTCAGTGCTATATTCAGATGCACTCCTTACACCAGTGCTGCAGGGTATAACTTCGAAAGAAGAAGTAGATTTCCCAATCACCATCTTGAAAAAGTATCAATGGTTTCTTGTCTACCATAGTCCTACAGCTCCCAGGCACTGCACTGTTGTATGCAGTATATAAAGCCATTGCTGCTCAAGGGTGCATTTCATCATCACAGTTGTTACAAGATTGATGTCAGTACAGCTCTGCTTACTTTTAAATCCCTTACTCACCTGCCTCTTACTGAGCAGAATTAAAGCCTCAATAACTGTCGTGGTTTAAGCCAACTGCCTGCGCCGACAACAGAGAACCACGAGATCACTCACTCACTCACTCCTTCCACCACCCCCATTTCCACAGGGATGTGGAGGGAGAAAACTCAACAAAAAAGGCTGAAGGATTGAGATTAAGGGCAGGGAGGGTAATAATCTACCGTTTAAGATGATGGGTCAAAATACAGACTAGACTTGGGGAGAAAACATAGATTTAATTTACCACTGTCATTTACAGAAGCAACCCAATCTTAAATACACTCCCCCCGACACCCTTCCTATCTGCCTGGCTACCTCCTTCCCCCCATCAGCGCAAGGGAGGCAGGGGGTGGGGGGTTTGGTCCACCTGGCCATTATTCTTCATCCATGGCAGCTCCTCCTTCTTGCGAAAGAGGGATCCTCTCAGTCTCTCCTTCATGCCACGTGGTGTCCATCTCATGGGAGGCAATCCTCTTCCTCCTCGTGAGTCCATCGGGGCTACAGATCACTTCTGGCAGACCTACCACTGATGCTCGGTCTCTCTCCCCTCTTGCATGGGGCTCTGCACATACTGCTGCATCCTGGACATTCTCACTGCTGTCAGTCCCTCCAGATGGCAGACAATCATCTTCCTGCCATCTCAGCCACCACAGGGCTCCACGGAGAGATTCTGCTCTGTCACTCTTCTTCCTCTCCTTTTTCTCCAGGACTCTTCTTCCGCTCTCCATTCTCAGGACTGTATTCCTTTGTTTTCCTCTCACCTCCCCTTCCTGCAGCAGAATTATAGATTCATAGAATCATAGAATGGCCTAGGCTGGAAGGGACCTTAAAGATCATTTAATCCAACCTCCCTGTTGTGGGCAGGGACGCCTCTCAACTAGATCAGGCAACACATGGCCCTTACGGGGATCGAACCTGTGACCTTGGCGTTATTAGCACCAGACTCTAACCGACTGAGCTAACGGGCTCAGCAGAAAACCTCCCCAACACAAAAGACAGGACAGATCAAGAGACGAAATCAAAAGAGACAGAGAACCCCTGGCCAGGGGTGGGTCCAACCCCTGCCTGGGGGTGAGTGAGGCTCTCAAAGTTTCCCAAGAGTCATCCCACACAGCTCTACCCCTGCTTCCAAAAATCCCTGCTAGACTCAAACCCATGAGAGTAACCTAGTATGCATTGCTCCAATACCTCGCCACAGTGCCTTGAGTTACAACCACTACCCACTTGTCTGTTGTCAGGCTGCTTTCCCCTGAAAACCATGTGATCCCAGCATGGCAGTATGTGTGTGTACATGTGTGTGTGTGTACAGGTCTGCTTGTGTCTCCCACCCCCACTCCCCATTTTGGTGCCTTTTACTGATGTCACCTATCTTTGGGAAAAAGACTGAGGCCTCCAAACTTGCATCTGTGTTGACACGTGACAGCATGATATGACATTGGCCAGGTAGCCCGACCTGTTGTGGGAGCTAGTTGGAGCATCCTGCAGCTCACGTGCAGCTCCAGCACCTTCAGTTCCTGCCAGAGGACACCAGACTGTGGGCTGGAGGATGGGGGAAGGAGTACCAGGCTTGCCTTTGGGTTGAGAGAACTGGGATGCAATGGGGACACACACTAGGGCTGCACAGACCATTTAGACATATAGCACCATCAAAGTAAGTACATGGGCAGAGGAGAGAAATGCTTTTTCTCCTTGATGATGAACAGAGTGAGCCCTTGCTGTCAGGCATCAGTGTTTCTCTACAGGGAGGAGGTCATACACACCTTCCAGTCAAAAGGAGAGTGCCAGCGTAACTCCTGCTGGCGTGGAGGTCAGCAGGATGTGCCAGAGTATGGGAAACTTGTATTGGGATTTAGTTACCTAGCATGCTACCACAGTGTTTGTGCTTCCTACAAGAGCACTGCAATAGTGTAGCATACAGGAATGGATGGTGAAATTGGGAGCGGCGCTGTTCAATACTACTGATGGTGTTTACACAACTCCGTGTCTATCAAGCATAATATAGACATGCTTCCTGACAGGGCTGGTTTAATTCTCACGAGCTGGGTAGTGGGGAAAAATAACGGCCTTCTAGACATGTGCAGATGGTTGGCTGGCTGAAAGCCCTTCCAGTAGCCAAACCCTGACTGACAGTGTCCCTTCCCCTCTGGGTAGATTACCAGACTGTCAAGCAATCTTTCTTCTCTTCAGCCGTCAATTTAATTGTTGAAAACTCTGGAGATTAGCAGCTGGGAGAGTGCCTGTGTAGCAAAAAATATGTTGTGCTGGTCAAAATGGAGATAATATTTTTTTAAACACTACTGTTCTATTCTGATCTACAACTTTTTAACTTTTGTCTTTTTTGAAAAATTTAACACCTTGCCTCTTTCCAAATTTACAGACAAAAAGAATTATTAATGAAATATCATGCAAATTTTATTTTCAGCAATGGTAATCCTAGAAGAAACAGCCAATGATATTATTAGATAGCAATATTTTTCATCTCAGTCTCTGGAAATAAATACCTTTTTTTTTAACAGACATGTAATTTCTTCCTCACAAAGCAGCAAAGTGAGAATCAGGCTGATCTTACTGTATCCAGTGTAGAATCACTACATAAAGGCTAACTCGAATGAAGAAGCTGTTGAAAAGCTGATCTTAATGAGAAACAAAATAGTAAATTCTTCTTAGTTCAATGTATAAAATAAAAATTTATAACATTTGAATATGTTACATGAACTTTTAGATTTGTTTTTAAATTAACATGATAGTGGAAAATGACAACATATTCTCTCCTTTTTAATACATATAAACTGTTATAGTTCAGATCAAGCTACCAAAAACCAACAAGAAAATACCTTGAAAGTTCTTAGAATAAAGTATGACGTACAAATGTGCATCGTACTATCAACTGGAAATTTTGTTGCTGTTAATTCTTTACATTATAATTATAAAATTATTTTAATGCACACATAGCAAAGACCTCAAGGAGAAATAAAACATATTAGCAGAAACAAAAAAAAACCCCGTCCAAACCCAGAAAATAAACCTGGAACTGGCATACCACAGCTTATACTGATCTTTCTTGATTTAATTCCGCATACATGTGACTTTTCTTCTTTAAAAAATCTGTAGCCGTGGCTCTCAGACTGTGTGGTATATCAAGATACAAGCATAGTAGCTTCTTACGTTGTTATAGTGTCATTAAAAACATTTGATATATGGTGTATTCTGAAAAAAAATATAGGCTAAATTTGATCAGGAAATAAAGATGCAGCACTGAAAAGAGTGTTTGGAAAAACAATTGCAAAGACACCTGTCAGGTACACGGTCTCTTCACGAAGTATGGTTTACAGTCACTTTAGGCTATTATTGTCTTCAAGCTCCAGAATTAAAGAAAGAGGAAAGTTAATATATCTGCTAGTTACACATGCAAATCACCTACCTTAATAAGAGACCATGCTACGGAAAAGTGGATTCAGCTTACTGTTCATTTCTTGCTATGAGAAAACTGCCTTGTTGTAAGGCTTTAGTAAAATACAGAGGCAACTGCAGCACAGTGCGGATTAATTACACTTCAGGCATTAACTAAGATTGACCTCAAGTCATAACTCCAATGAGTTACATCCTCTGCCACTTGTTTTTGAGAATGATCTTTTGGAGATTTTCAAGAAAAGTGGGGATGTTCCATACTACCCTTGCTTCTTCCCTTAAGTTCTCTAAAGCTCATTGCCTTTAAATTTCTCTGCTAATGTCCCTGCATTATGAAAAGAAGCAGATGGATCTACTGTATAAGAATTTCATTTTTTGCCAGTACCCTGTCTTCTACTTTTGTTGATGCTGAAGTGGATTTTGTTAGAGTGTTCTTCTGGGAAGGTAGAGAGATGAGTCCATTTTTCCGTTTCAAGGTAATTCATCAAATGATGTTTTCATAACCCTTCAGCGGCAGACATTTATTTTTGACTGTTTGATTCCCCCCAGTTTATTATTCAAAGATCATCTGTTTGTAATGATTAAATGTAAGCATCTCAGAAATGCATAATGATGCCAATTTTCTGCCTAGTTTCCCTTTCCTAGGAACACCTTATCAGTGCAATAAAAAGCCCAAGATGACAGCAATTTGCACCTCTGCAGAGACAATAAAATGCAAATAGTGTGGGTTTGCTTGAGTATTTTCCCCAGGAAATAATTAGTTTTATCTTCTCATTATTTTCCCTTGTGCAAAAAAAAAACCCAACACAACAACAAAAAACCCCAAAACAACAAACCCCAGCGCACTAATAAGATGACTGCTGTTTCATTTTGTGTTTGTTTATTTATTTATTTATTAAGCTCAGGTAAAAATCTATCTATTACAAATGTCTGTCAGGGAAAGGTGTGTACTTGTTGGATGCCACAGGGCGAAGAGGTGCCTGCCTGCTGCTTTTCACCGCTGCTTGTTTGCAGAGTGACATTTGTGGATTTCAGGCTGCCGAAGTGAGTTTGTGTTACGGGCTGAAGTCACTTAATAATGAGAGGCCATGGAGGGCAGATGCAGCACAGCTCCTCTGTTTGGATTTGAGATCCCCAAACCTCTACTTCATAAATGGTACTTTACACGGGTCTTAGTTTCTGTGGGATTTTTGTCACACAGCCTCACTGAACAAAACTATTGCACCCTAGGGAGGAAAGCATCGGTGCTGCCAGAGAGCTAATTTTGGGAAGGCAGAGAATAAAACTGTCAGCTTTCCTGGGCTGAAAGAGTTTCCCAAGGGGACTTTTTATTTTGTGAAGAAAACTACCAGAGGCTTGTAGTATTACTGGTATTGATTTTAATGTTACAGTTTGCAGTCTTTATTTGCAAGAGTATTTTGATTAAAATGACTTGTCTTTGATTTTCCTTCTCAAAATGGTTTTGATCTTAGTATTGATTTTGTGATAGTTCATAATGTATAACTAAAATGGTTAAAGTAATGGTTATTTTTTTGAAAATCAAAACCACTATTTTGATCACTGATATTAAAATGATGAGCCTGAGTTATTAATATAACATTTTTTGAAGGAAGTTTCAATTCATGTTTTCTTTTCAAGTTATATTTGGTTTTGTGTCAAAATAAACTCAAAGGCCAAACTACCACAATTTCTCATGGAAGAGAAACTCTTAAACTGATGCTGCTCTGTTGCTTGATTTCTGTCAAAATAAATCCTACATAGCAAATACATATCAGTTCCTTTCACTGATTCACTCAAATAAGATTAAAGAGAATAAGAGGATGCTATAAGTCACTTACTTGCTGACTTCCTGAACTAGAAAAATAATCAGATCATTAACTCCCATCTTAAACTGTAAGACTAGTCTTCTGAAAAGTTTAGTTAATGCTTACACGTGCTCCATAAATTTAAGCATCTCATTCCTCTATGACATCCACAGCTACTGAGGTCCGTCATTCCAGAACACAGATGATTAATGTCACCCTAGCTGGATTCCTTACTGTAGCCCGGCATCAGAGATCATCAGAAACTCCCTGTAACTGTGTGATGAGGCAGGCAGGGTGGGAGGGGACTGTTATAAGCCTTTGAATTTTTTCCATCCTGAAGCTTTACTTTCCCTATTCTCCTGCGTGAGATTAATCGGAATTTGCCCAAGAAGCTCTTTCCTACTGTTATGGTTTGACCCTGCCCCGTGGCCAGATGCCCACACAGCTGCTCTATCACCCCCCTTCTCTGCTAGACAGGGGGAGAAAATATATCGAAGGGCCCATGGTTTGAGATAAGGACAGGGAGATCACCTGCATCTACCGTCCCGGGCAAAACAGACTCGATTTTGGGGAAATTAATTAAATTTATTAAGGAAAAAATCAGAGAGGAGTAGTGAGAAATAAAAACAGATCTTTAAAAAATAACACCTTCCCCCCATTCCTCCCTTCTTCCCCATCTTAACATCAATCCCAGTTTGTCCATCTCCACTCAAGCCGCGCTGGGGGGACAGGGAATGGGGGTTGCGGTCAGTTCA